CAGACAGGGTCGTCCCAATATGCGTTTTTGCAATTTGCATATAGGCAAAAACGCATAAAAACTTGGGTGTCAATTGAATTATGGCCTTAATTGAAGCAAGACTTATAATGCAGCGAATAGTTCTTAGGAACGTGTAAATCGAGAACACCACAAAAAAAAATTAGTTGCAGAAACACTCTAGTTGCATATAATCATTACTCACTGGCTGGCCAAAAAAGACATACTTCGCTCAAGGACTGGCCACGGCATGTAACATCCAAAATCGGCGTGTTCTGTGTTAGGTTTATTAAGCAGTCCTCGACCTCCCGCAATCATTACGAAATCGTTCGTACTTTCAGTATACAATGTGAACGCATCATCAGATTGATACATGACCACCGGCTTACTCGCCTGCAATGATGCAGCTGGCGCCGACAGCAATCACTTAAGGAACTGATCAGAAATGATTTTATCTCGTTCCGCTCTGTTCGATCACCCACAGCTAGTTTTTATGGGTTTTTTGCTTAACAGCGCTCTAGCGCTGCAACAGCGGGCAAAAACGCATATTTTCGAGAGGTCGTCCATAAGTGTATGTTCAGAAGCAAGTGAACTTTGTCACCCACTTTCAACTCAACAACAGGAAAACTGGGAGGCTGAAATTTTGAATTCTTATTCCCTCTTCATGAGTCATCTGCTTATTTTAAAAGTTTCACTTATGTGCGCCACGATCTCGAGCACAAATCACCAAAAAAAGAATGCAAATTTTTTGACGGGAAACGATTTCGTGAACCGAACAAGATAGAAAGCTGAAATTTTTATGGGAGATTCTCTGCGCATATGTGAGCTGCAGATTTCAAATTTAGCTATCGCACACGTTTATACCGCGCATACAGACATGTCAAATTTCATAGATGATACTGTGTTAACTCGAAAACTAGTCAGAAAACAGTAGCCGAAATTTCGTTACAATATTTGCTGTTCATATGGAAAATTGTATACCTAAACTGAGTTCCGATTTGCACTTGCGCAACGATTTAGGGCACTAAAAATATGTTTGTAGCGAAGTAGCTGTTTCGTTTACCTGACAAGTTGCAAAGCTGAAACTTTGCAGGGATATTCTATATCCATGTATGGCCTTAGTTCAGCTTAGAGGCAAAATTTCCGTCAGGCAGACATGGTAAGTACTCAATTTTATCGCTAACTCAAAAGCAAGTGCATTTTGGAGATTTCATAATCCTGTTCCGACTTGTTTCAAATTTACACTTTTTCAAAGAACCACCATTCACAAGGAAAACGACTGGCCTTCGTGCAGACAACTGGTAATCATAAATGCAAGAAATCCATGAGGCCTCATAATGCAAAATCCCCATCCCAACCGACGTCCTTTTCGCCTACTTGCGAGAAAAGGTCAAAACATAGTCAATATGAGTCCAAGTGTTAAACTGCAGCGCAGGAACCAATTCTACTGTTAGTGGTCTGCAAGTTTTAGTGCAAAAACGCATGATCGTGTCGGCAAACCTGGTGCGCTGCAGCCTGGGTTTAACAAGTGAAGAACCAGCAAGTCTTGAAAGCAATGGAACGCCATAAAGGTGGCCAACGCATCAGAACCACACTTTTTTTTTCAGTTCTCCAAATATATGAATCAATTCATCTAAATTACGTTTACCAGGCCCGAAACTTTTATTTTTGTAGACAGTCAGTGGATTTGCCATCCGTCTGCTTAACGTCACACCTTTCAGACAAAATCCGGCACTTTTATTAATTTGACGCACCAGACTCACCTAACTGGATGTTCCAACCCGCATCTTTGGAAAATGACCTTTTGATGAGTATGGAGCGGGAAGGAACTGAACCACTCGTCTCAACATCCGGATGCGATGTGCCATCTACAGCACCACTGGCCCCTGTGCCGCAAGATTAATCTCGAAGCTGCTTTTCTCTAGCCGGTGCATATCTCTGTTTAGAAAGCATAAAAATTTGTGACGGAATTTCCTTTGTGGGTATAGCGCAGGTATAACTACAGACATGCATCAACAATCACCACGTATCAAGGAGTGCATTGTAAGCAACGGTGATAACATTGTTAAAGAGACATACATTGAGTATTACAGTAGCTTTGGCGCTGATGCCAGCCTCAGACCGCACGTCGACATCCACCCGAGCTTCGTCAACGCCAGCCAGCAACAAATAAGCGAATACGGTACCATCTTCACCCGGCTCTGGTAACGTCACTGCATAACTGGTACTTGCCATTGACGTTGGCATCACTAAATGCTCAGCAGAGTTAATGCCACTTTCGCACTAGTCATTCATTTATGATTCATTTAATCCGACTCAGAAGCAAAATCTTTTCTTTCTATTTTCTGCGAGGAACGAAGATGCTCGAAAGGGTCCGATTGATAGCAATTGCCAACAGCAACTGTGCACTGGCAAGGCTTTGGATGTCCTGCTCGTTCGAAAGCTGCACAGAAGCTGATGGAACATTTGATTTTCTGACATACACCAATATTAACTTAGCGTTCACAAGCATGGAGGCGCTGACTGCCCCACTGGCACAGATGAACTAGAAAAGCTCAAATGTATTAAGTGTAAACTGAACAATTTTGTACATCATGCATGGACAACCTTTGGAGACACGCGAGCCTGACTTACATCCTTATTTAAGGTCGCCGGTCACTTTTAATTAAAACCCATGTAACAACTCACCAGACTTTCCCATGCAATAATGCGCTTCTGCGCTAAGCTTGACTGGGTCAGATCGTTGACAGTATGAATGGTTCTTGAATGCGGGGAAAAGGGTGTGGTCTGGGAAAGTGGTGTTGCATCACGATTCCCTCCGTTGCTGAGTTGAAAGTGGGTGACAAAGTTTCCTCACCAGTGGATGCAAATACACACAAGACATGCTCTCGATGTCTTGCGTTTTTGCATTTGCACAGGATGCAAAAGCGCATAAAACAGATAATTTTTTATCACGTCGCTCATTCAGTGAAAAAGCAATGAGTTCTGTACTCGAACTTTTGTTATAAGATTGTTGAAATCTGAATTTATACCACTGACACAATGTCTCACAACATTTTCCAGACTATCGTCTGTTAGCTCATGCGTATTTTAGTTTTATTTTCATGAGAATGCTCCGGCGCGGCGGAGTACCAACTCCCCGTTCATCTAGTTAGGCACCACATTCCGGTTCGCTCCGAGAGTCACCGGTTGCCCAGATGTGGTGTACACAATAACTGAAATATCGAAGATAATCGAAGTTCCCGCATTTAATCTGGAAGGCGGAATATAGCAGAATATATGACACATTGGTGTGCCAGTAAATTCACTTTTCAATTCAAGTTACGGACGATCGATTAAAGAAAGATATTGAGAAAGCCAAGCTTCTATTCATGATGTATTAGTTGAAAGTAAACCTTACCGAGGAAGCTGTCCCCAGCCTCATCCGCAGAGTAACTGCTTGCTATAACAGAGATGACGTAAAGCGAGCTGATGCTGATGCGGTCATCCGGACAATTGACCAGTCCCCATCCCTCACACACACTTAACGCTGGATAGTTCAATTTTATCTGAACAACAACTGTGTTAGTTTTGATGCCTGATGAGACCAAAAAATGAATAGAGATAAAATGGCACTAGATGCTATCAAAAGACATCCTAGTGGTACAAGGTTCTGCAGCTGAGGACTTTCTGCTGTAACTTGCCATAGTGAAAAAAAGACAAAATATTTCTGAAAACATTTTAAAGAATTTCAGTCGCACCGGATGAAAAAGTATTCCGCAAAGGAACAAACAAATTTGCCTATAATTCAGCGACAACAACATTGCTGTCAATTGGCAGCTGCAAGATGGGGCTGCAGGCTGGAAAGCTACACCAGACGGCATCAACTTCAAATACTAAACAGACTACCAAAATTAGAAGTAAGCACTGTTATGGTTAATGAGCACTAATTTGCTTAAGCTTTACTGACAAGCACATTTTAGTTGGCGTTCGTCAGACACTTCATGGATTCTGCATACAATGTGAGGAAAAATGTGTTAGCTCTGATTACAAAATTTTTTAGTTGTGAACCAGCATAATTAAATAATTGGCCAACGCGCGGGCTGCCCTTGCGAAGATGCGTTTTTGCATGGTTCCCCGCAGTTTTTGTTGCTACCGGCACCGGTTTTTTCGGCA